TTTTAATTTTCAGTCAGATAAAAAATTCAGAATAAAGAATGAAGAGGGAACAAAGAAGCTTAATGTTGTGAGACCCAAGGAAGATATTGCTTTAAGATAGGAGCTGCTAACGCAAAGGAGATTGTTTCTTTTTGATTTCATAGCTAAAAGATTAAAGAAGCTAAAACATTGAGGTCAGATTGAGTGTTAAGTCTTTGAAGGAGTTGTAAGAAATATGCACAACAATTTAATCAATCAAAAAAGGTTCATGGTTGGATAGAGCTTTAAAAGAAGAAGGTGGAAAATTTTGTAAATATATTCTGTGTATTGAATTTACTACAGAAGATATTGAAACTCTGATTCGGAAATAAAATTCTGAAATATATTGTATGGAGAAGACCTGAAGTTGAAGGAAAAATGATATCTGAAATGTATGGCGCTAGGTTAAGATTATAGAACTGAGAGATGAAGAGATAAATGGATTACATGTTACTGAAGTACCCACTTTTTAGAAAGATTGGAAAAGATATAAAGAGAAGCATAAAAGTTTCTAGAAAGGAAGTTTACAATAATGTAATAAGTTCAGATTTAAACAATATTTCTAAATCTTACATTTCTAACACCATTACAAGATAATGAAAATTCCTCAGCCGATCAAGTAGTCATTCAAAGAATCTACATAAGAAAAATCATAAAGCGAGTAGGAAACGTTGGCATTCTATTACTGACAAAGATGTTATAGCATCAAAGAGGCCACACTTTGATGTAAATATTACTAGCAATACAGATTCAGAATACCCTACTGATTTACAAGATAACCAAGACAGAATGAATTGGATAATACTTATCAAACTAAGCAATACATTCCTCATCATTTGATTGGATTGATGTATCAGTTAGATTTGTCAGTGCTATGCTCACTTAGAAAGTCTACATATGAACATAAATATCCTTCATTGTCATTAGTGTTTGAGGACTTTGAAATTGATATGTTTAGTAATATTGTTATTCGTTATGAAAAGAAGTCTCTTCATATACGAATTGAAAATGCAGCCAAATATAATGATATTAGTTATGCTAAATTATTTACTAAAGAAAGACGAAGTTCTTCTATTAATAGTTACTTTGGTAGTTTTGTTAACATCTAATCTCTAAATCAGATAATTCATCAATAATGTTGAATATCTGATTATATACTAATTCAGGCTTGGATATTACAGGTAAAAAGGAATTAAAAAAAAGACGGTTGAAAAGTTTTCATCCTTTAAATTTGTTAGCATAAATATAGAGGAATGTGACATTTTAAAAGACTTTCTGTTTACAAATGATAATATGCAAGGGAGTGGTTTTTATATCAGTTTTTGCAGGATGAGGCAACAAAAGAAGATCTTTTACAGCAATTAGAATTTTCTCCTGCTATGCGAAAAGCAATAAAAATGAGAAAACTTTCTCAAGAGTTTGAAAAACAAACAAAAGAAGCATTTTTAGATAAATTAGTACTTGCAGTTAATCAGCCTAATAGAGAAGAATTGAATAATATTGTTAAAAGGAAATTAAAAACAATAGTATAGTTCAAGGCGATTATATGGCATTACAAGAAAAAATATTGTGTGATTTTACATCTCCAGAAAGAATAAAAAACTTAAGAATTATATATCTGGAGTTATATATGAATTCAATTTATTAATACTCTTCTTGCATGATATGTTCTTGAATAAAAACATGATTTCCATAAGTTTTGAGGAAAAAGGCAATAATACATCTAATAATATAACTATTAATTATAAAGATAGAGTTTCTTACATAAAGCTCATATTGCAGATAGTAATATTGGTTATGATCAGTTATTTCCATCCAAAAGTCTTGAAGAAAATACATTTTCTATTAATAATACTTTACTCTTTTCGTTGAAATGTTAAAATTTCATAAGAATATAAAATATTTTATTATCTATACAAATGCAGATCTAAACCTTACTGAAGAGAAAATATTAAACAAAGGGCAATCTAAAGATTTTTATCCTTTAAAATTTGATAGTGTAGATATTCGTAAAAAAGGTATAAATTTTAAGAAATTGTTCGTGTATAAATAGAAATGCTCTTTATCAATTTGTGCAAGAAGATACAACAAGACAGAAACTTTAAGGCTATTAAAACTTCCACTTTCTTTGCTGAAGGCAGAAGAGAAAGAAAGACTTTCTGATGATTGTGAAATAGAGATAAAAACGAAATTTTTAGATAAACTAATATTTGCAGTTAATCAACCAAATAGGGAAAATTTGAATAGTGTTATTAGAAATGTGATAAGTAAGTCTGATGTTCCATATGATTATGAGAAACTACATGAAGTAGCCATACGTTGGTCAGAATCTGATGAATATGGTCATATCACGAAAGAAATAATGGCAAAATTTTTGCAAGATATAAAAATAATAGGTCTAGTTATCAGGAAATTGAAAATAAAAACATTGATGAAGAAATTAAATTGCTATGAGTGTGGTTGGTAAAAAGGAACACCTGCATTTCATAAGTTCTTAAATTTTTTTTAATTAAAGAAAAAGGCTAGAAATTCTGAAAACAAAAGGAAAAAATTTAAATAATATGTCCAGTATTTTAGTGGAGCAGGTGCGAATGCTACCATGGCTTTTAAAAATTTATATGATCTTTGGTTTGATCCAGTAGGAATAAAACACAATATTTAAAAACCCTAGAAGAACACAATATAAACATAACTAATGTATCCAGTATTTTGAATAGGGCACGAGCTGATGCTGCAAAAGCTTTTAAAGACTTATATGATCTTTGGTTTGATGCAAAAGGAAATAGTACTCGATATTTAAAAACTCTAGAGAAAAACGGAATAAATCTAACTAACATGTCCAGTATTTTAGGTGGAGCAGGGTCTAAAGCTCCCAAAGCTTTTAGAGACTTATATGATCTTTGGTTTGATTCTGAAGGAAATGAAACACTTATTTAAAAACTTTAAAAAAAAATGGAATAAATCTAGCCACTATGACCAGTATTTTGAACAGAGTAGGCGCTAATGCTGCAAAGCTTATAAAGACTTATATCATTTTTGGTTTGACGCAGAAGGAAATAAAACACAATATTTAAAAACTCTAGAAGAAAATGGAATAAATCTGGCTATTGTGTCCAGTATTTTAAACAAAGTAGGAGCTAATGCTGCAAAAGCTTTTAAAGATTTATATGATCTATGGTTTGATGCAGAAGGAAATAAAAAAATATATTTAAAAACTCTGGAAGAAGAAGGAATAAATTTAGCTACTCTATCCAGTATTTTAAGTGGAGCAGGAGCTAATGCTCCCAAGGCTTTTAAAGAGTTATATGATCTGTTGTTTGATGAAAAAGGAAATAAAACATGATATTTAAAAAATCTAGAAAAAACGGAATAAATCTAACAAATGTATCCAGTATTTTACATCGAGCAAGATCTGATGCCGTAAAAGCTTTTAAAGACTTATATAATCTGTGGTTTGATAGGAAAGGAAATAAAACAATATATTTAACAACTCTAGAAGCGGAAGGAATAAATTTAGCCACTATGTCTAGTATTTTAGGTGGAGCAGGTGCTAATGCTCCTGAAGCTTTTAAAGAACTATATAATACTTTTTTTGATGAGTATGGAAAGAAAACACATTATTTAAAAACTCTAGAAAAAAACGAAATAAATCTAACTAGGATGTCTAGCATTTTGAATGGAGCAGGAGCTAATGCTCCTAAAGCTTTTAAAGACTTATATGATCTGTTGTTTGATGAAAAAGGAAATAAAACACAATATCTAAAAACTCTGAAAGAAAATGGTATAAATCCAATAAATATGTCTAATTTTAAGTGGAGCAGGAGCTAATGCGCCCAAAGCTTTAAAGACTTATATGATCTGTTGTTTGATGAACAAGGAAATAAAACACGCTATTTAAAAACTCTAGAAAAAAACGGAATAAATCTAACTAATATGTCAAGTATTTTAAGTAGAACAAGAGCTAATGCTCCTGAAGCTTTTAAAGAACTATATAATACTTTTTTTGATGAGCAAGGAAATAAAAAACAGCATTTAAAGCATTTTATTAAAAAAAAAGATGGGGAAAAAGGTTTTACACTGCATAACTTATCTGGCATTTTAAGTAAAGCAGGAGCTAAAGCTCCAGATGCTTTTGAAAAATTACATAATGTCTGTTTTAATAATAAAGGAGAACAAACAGAACTTTTAGATGATTTCTATAATGCAGGTTTTAGGCCAAGTAACTTATCCGCCATGCTATTTGGATCAGGAGTTCAAGCTTCTTCTAGTTTAAAAAGATTGCATAGTATTTGTTTTAATAAGGAAAGAAAAAAAACAAAACTCTTAGATGATTTCTATAAGGCAGATTTTAGTCCTGGTGCTTTATGTAGTATATTGAGTGGATCAGTTGATAGTTTAGAGCAATTTCATGAATTTTGTTTTGGAGAAGAAACAAAAAAGTATTTAAATCACTTTTTAGATGAGAAAGAAAGTTTCACACTGAGTAATTTGTGTAATATATTGCATGGAGCAAGATCTAATATTTGTTCTGCTTTAAAAGATTTTCATGATATTTGTTTTGATGAGACAGGAAACAAAACGCATGTTCTAGGTGATTTTTATATAGTAGGATTTAAACCAAATGATTTATCCAATATACTATCCATGGCAGGAAACAATGCCACTTCTATTTTAAGAAGTTTCCATAATTTTTGCTTTAGTAAAGAAAATTATTTAAATCATTTCTTAGCTGAGACAAAATATTTTACGCCGAAAGGTTTATCTGAGGTATTATTTGGAATAGGAACTAGAATTTGCTCTGCCTTTAAAAAATTGCATGATCTCTGTTTTGATAATGCAGGAAACAAAAAGAGTTATTTAAACAATCTTATCAAAAATCACTCATCTTCTGAGATACTTAATATATTACGTGAGAAGATTAGAAAAGCTCCGTCTACTTTCTTAGATGGACAGAAGATTTATGAAGAAGGCGAAGCAACGAATGCGGTCCCTGATCCAAGTAACTTATCCAAGAGAATAGAAAAAGAACAAAACCCAGATCTACAAGAAGTCCACAACAGAGTGCTCATAAGGCTGAGAAATAATCTCGGAACAATAAGAACAGATAAAATGACAAAATTTTAGACACAGTAGCAGGATAGCTCTTAAAGCTCAAGAGACTTATCTCCAAAAGAAATACATTCAGTATGCTGCAAAAACAGCAACAAGAGGTATATCTTCACACTTATCAAAGTTTGTATCATTCATTTATCAAGGTTCTTTATTTACCTTTAATTCGATAATGATAAATTTATAGCGCAATGTAAGCAGGTATCTATTAGACTACTTTTAAAGAGATATGAAATATATACACATTTTTTCATTAGATCAAATACTAATAAATAAAAATAAAATAATAGACATAATACTAAATATTCAGAATAAATAATTTGCCTATTAAATGTAAGAGTTTCCATATACGAATCAATGTCCATACAGAAATCGCACAGTTCATTTTTAATTCTTCGCTAAGATTTTCCAAATTAAATATCACATTTCTATTACTTAAGTAATTACTTGTGAAAGCTATTGAAAAGAATTTATCTTATTCAATGGACTGGGAATTTCATTTCAATTTGAGTCAATTTTTACTAAAAATACGTTTTATTCATTGAGTAATAATAAGGTTGTATTTATTCGATTGGTTTATACATTCTCTAAAACACCGAAACGCGAAGGGGGCTTTTTGTCAAAGATTTCTTTCCTAGTTCAAAATGACGGCATTTACAAAGGATTTTGGATTCCATACGTATTGGAATCCGCGAATAACGAAATTTTTAGTCGCAAATATAGGAATTTAGTCCATTTTTTTTGGCAGCGAATAGCGAAAACGCAAATGAAGAAAGACTTCTGCCATCTATCGTTTAATTTGTTCTCTCTCAACAACTGTCAGTAGTAGTTGAAAATATGATCGAAACAGTACGGCCCCTAGACAATATAATAATCGGTATCTGGCATAAATCTAATTTACATAAAATTGTGCAATGCATTGTCGACGTTAAACGTTATCTACTGTTTCGAATGAATTCATTATAGTACAAAGATTAAAGTGCGGATAATTCAAAAGTCTATAATTATTAAGCATAATTTAGTGTTAGTTGGCTTTTTGAATGCCACGCCAGAATACAAGAAATCAATAATATTTATTGATTTTAATTAGAGGTCAATCAGACCTCTAGTCTAGTTAGAAGTCTATTATATTAAATAGTAATTTTAAAGATAAGTAGAATTAAATAACATTCTTAACAATGGGTCCAAAAAGATCAAACTTGCTTAGTTATGAAAATCTAGTCCATGCGCTAGCTGGATCCTCGGTAAATACTGAAAATTAAACAAAAGTTTTATATTTAGTTAATAGAATTATATATTTTCTAGGCGAGCGTCGTAGCTATGGCCACTTTCTACCCCTTAGATACCTTGCGATCGAGGCTTCAATGTAAGAAAAAAAAGTAATTTTTTTATATAATTTTTCTTATAGGTATTTCTTGCTAATTAAATCTTAATCACATTCTCTTTTGGAAGATGTGTAAATGTATATATATATATATATATATATATATATATATATATTTATATACAATATATTCATATTATTTGCATATACCAAAATTATGACTTGGAGCAAAACAATGCAAAAATATTATTCTTTCATGTGAAAATTTAATTATTAGTTTTTAAATTGGTGAAGTACCAGTGTTGTTATTTATTGTCACAATTTACACTTCTACTGTAATATACAGTAGAAACTCGTTTTTCCGGTCCTCAGTTATACGGATTTGCACTTATCCGAACTTCCAACTGCAACCAATATATTATATATGACCAATTTATGATATAGCAGAAGTGGAGAAAAAAAGTTGCTTATGCCAAATGACAATTACCAAATATTTCATACCAAATTGAACTTATTACTTAATTATTTCATTATTACTTAAAGCAAGTTACCAAATTCATATTGTGGGCAAATTATTCCTACATAAGTAGTTAAATATTTTATTCCATGATTAATGCTCTAGTTTAGTATTAAGTAAGTTAGTACATAAGTAAGTGTTAATTTGAAATTTCTTTTGAACATTATTTTTCATACATACCATTATTCAGTTTTTTGATAATCCAAATGCCTATTGACAACAATTAGTCTGATTAATTGAGTTTCTAATATAGTACATAAATTTCTATTTTTTATTTATTAACTTGTTGAGAATTATTTGATATAAACTTCATATTGTCATGAAAAATGTTCTAATATTGATCAGCATTACATATATATATATATATATATATATATATATATATATATATATACTCGTATATATATATATATATATATATATACTCGTATATATATATATATATATATATATATATATATATATATATACATAGCATTGCCAAATGATTTTTCTCTCTATATCATATTATATAGTTTTTGCCTATACAAATATTAAGTTCTATTCTTATAATATATTCCATTCTTTAACGCTGTAGTAGAAGAATCTGTGAAGATAGAGTCTAAAGGGACCTTCTCGAAGATGCACAAACTGATTGAAAATGAAGGTTTTGAAACATTGTATAGAGGAATGATACCTGTCTTGAAGAGTTTATGTGCTTCTAACTTTGTATACTTTTATACATTCCATGGATTAAAACGTTTGTTTCACAATGATCAGCAAACTGCTCTCAAAGATTTATTCTTAGGCATGGTTGCTGGTGCTTGTAATGTTATGGTTACCACTCCATTGTGGGTTGTCAATACACGTTTAAAAATGAAAGGTACTCATAAATCATTTTATTTTATGTTTATGTGAATTTATGTATATATATATATATATATATATATATTATATATAATATATTATATGCAGTGGTATTCCGCCTTATGTCATAAGTGATGTTCGTGCTCTTATGCTTCCTGTACTGTTAAAAATATTTAGATTTATAATCATGGTTCCAAACAAATGAGCCATAACTCTTGAATTAAAGTGTGAAATCATTGAAAAATATGACCAAAGTGCGCGAGTAGTGGATTTGATGAGGTTGTTCTTTTATAGAACTAATATAGTAATAATTTAGTTATTTTTTAACTTCCCGTAGGGTAAGTTATAGTAATCGCAAAAAAATCGAAAATGAAAATTTTTATATATCTTTACGTTTCAGAGGTTTCTGAACATTTTGGCATACCTTAGAAAAAATGGATGTATGTGTGTGTGTGTGGGTGTGTGTGTGTGTGTGTGTGTGTGTGTATGTATGTACGTGTGTGTATGTATGTACGTGTGTGTATGTATGTACGTGTGTGTATGTATGTGCGGATACAAATTTTCGTCGACGATTTCGGGAACACGGATCAACCGATTTGAATAATTCAAAAAGCATTCGATTCGTATTGATAAGGAGACGTGCTGATTAGTTTTTGGCGAAGGCAGGGCTAAGCGTTCCGAAGATACGGGGCAAAAAGTGCCGAAAACGGTAACTCAGTTTTTAAGAGAACGGAGCGTCCGATTTTAATAATTCAAAAAACGTTTTACTTGTATTGACAAGATGAAGAAGTGATCAAATTTTCATGAGGGCAGGTCTAGCGGTTTCGGAGATTTGACGAAAAAAGTAAAAAAAAAAATGCCATTTGGCGGTCAAAGATGATCATTAGACATATGCACATCAAATTATCAGATATTTTATAGAGATTTTAACAATAAGTATAAATTTTGTTTACATTCCTATGGGTTCCGTACCAATGTTTATCCGTTAGACAGCGACGCGGCGCTTTACGCTTTATATTTTGTCTCTATGCAGTTAAAGCAGTACGATTGCTTTGAAAAAAAGTTCAGATCTTCCAAAATATGTCAAAATAAAGAAAACATTTTTTTTAGAATTATTTTTTTAAAGAAAAATTTTTTTTTCAAGAAAAAGTAATTCTTTGTCCAATTTATAGTTTCTCAAAAATCTTATTTTTGCGAAGTAAAATTTTTTCAAAAATGTTTATCGTTTTTAAAAAAATAATAATTTTTGGTACGGGAAGTTCTTGCAATTTGCCTTAAGGCACGATGCCCTAATTGCCTTAAGACAGAATTCCACTTACAGCTAGTTATTTTGTAATTTGCTATATTTTGGAGAACATATATTTGATCTTAGCAATAAATGTTTCATTTCTTTTTATTATTAAAACAAACATTTCCCTGAAACGAATTAATGGAATTTCAATATATTTATATGGAAAAAATTGCTTCGATATACGAGAATTTCGACCTGCGAGCGTGATTATGGAACGAATTAGTCTCATTAGGCGGGGTACTACTGTATCTTATATATATATATATATATATATATATTTTGAATTCAAAATTCAAGACTATTCAAATATATATATATATATATATATCTTGAATTTGATGTTGATATAATTATATATTTATATATATATATATATATATATATATATAATTTGAATTAAAAAATCGGATGTTACATCAATAAAAATAGTATGAGAGTTTTTAGAAATTCTATTCTAGTTCTATTTTAAACTCCGAACAGTAAATACATAGTTTCGACAACTTGTTAAGTTATCATATTTATTTGTGTGTTTTACCATCTGTGGTCATACCTTGGATACTCATACCATGGATTAATAATGTTTTCATATGTTATATTAGGATACAAAATTTTAAATTGATTGCCACTGAATGAAGGCTAAGATGCTTGCCGAAATGTATGGATTTTAAATGAATTTCTAAAAACTCTTATACTATTTTTAGTGATGTAACGCCCGACTTTTTAACTCAAATTGAATATATATATATATATATATATATATATATATAGAATTTTGTGATATGAGTGGAATGAATATTAAATGTTAAGTATGAACAATACAACACTCAGATTTTTAACACACACTTTATTTGGTAATTACAGACATTTCGACACTATGGTATGCCTCACCTTCAGTGTAATTTCAAACCAGTTACTTATATACTACACATTCTTTGATATTTGAGAGAAAGAAAATTTTTTTTTCTTTTTACTTTTCATTTCTCTTGTTTATCTATCTGTTAAGTATAATTGTTATTGTTATAATTATATTACTTATATCTATAGTTCTTTTTCCAATTTCTATCATTTTTTCCTAGTTTATATTAATTTTTCAATATTCATTCTGTAGATCCACTGATGATGACATAAAATACTATGTCGAAACGTTTGGAAAAATTAAAGATTAACTTCTAAATCTTTGCCTTTTATTTGATGTATGCCCTTGAAGAACTTACTCATATATATACGAGTATATATATTATATATATATATATATATATATATATAATATATACACATACACACATTTATTCATATTATTATTATTGATATTCTGCTCAAAAGCAAGAATTGTTAAATCTTTTAATTTAACCTTTCTTTTCAGTCCTGTAAAAAAGGTCCATCTGTCTGAAATTTTGACTTAAAATTTGTAAATTTTATAATAAGCCTAAAAAGAGTTCATAACTTTGGTTGTTTTACTTATTGGAAATTAATAATTTTTTAGTTAAATTATAAATATTATAAAACTGAGTGTTTACTTATCATAATTGTTTGCTGTTACAGGTATCGAGGATTCTGCAAAAGATTATGAAGGTTTATTAGATGGATTAATTAAAATATCAAAAGAAGAAGGCATATTTGGTCTATGGGCTGGAGCAGTTCCATCTTTGATTTTAGTCATTAATCCCGCTATACAATTCATGACTTACGAAAGTATAAAACGACGGCTTTTAAGCAATTTTAAAGAAATTCCTTCTAGCGCATATTTTGCTCTAGGAGCATTTTCTAAAATTATTGCTACTTGTTTGACATATCCGTTACAATTAGTACAGACAAAACTGAGGCATGGAAGAAAAGGAACTTCTGGTAGTTGCAAAAGAGATATTGGTATCTTTCACATGTTTAAAAAGATAATAGAAACGCAAGGAATACCAGGATTATTTAGAGGATTGGAAGCCAAATTATTACACACTGTACTGACAGTTGCTTTAATGTTTGCTGTTTATGAAAAAATTACTACTTTTGTTCTGAAACTTTTGCTTCGAAAATCTTCTAAATAATGCAAAATTTAGTGTAAACAATGGTTTGGGTAAGGAGTATTTATTAAATATATAGAAGAAATTTCACAATAATTCTAAAAAAAAGTCTTTCTTAACACATTAATATATAGTATATTGTTTTTGTTTAAGTTTTTACAGCCTCATCTTTCGCTTCTAGGCTTGATTCAACATTTTCAGGTTCTTCTTTTGGTTTTTGAGATAATTCTAAAAGATTAAATTTTTTAAGTTGAAAATAATCAGGAACTACACTAAGTAAACATAGTCCTTTAATAATTTCTACTATCACACATAATTTAGCACTTTTCAAGTCAGCTTTATTTAAAACATTCTTTTGTCCAATTAAATCAGCCAAAGTTTTAATGACATCCTCTCGGTTTACTGAATTATTATATCTTCTATTAAAAACTATAGCAAAAGTTGTAGGCTCCTTAAGAAAATATTGATCAAACAAAGCGCCAGCTGTGTTAGTTATATCTGAAATATTTGCTCTGCAGACTTTCTCAATTGGAACTAATCTTAATAAGTATCTTGTTTCTTGTCTCTTAGTATTAGCTATGTCTTGAATTATTTTCATTGCAAATGGCACAGGGTTATCAAGAGTGGTTGATATAAATAAACAATTGGAAGCCCCAGTTTCCACAACTTGGAAACGTTTTTTCTTATCAGCCACTTGAATATTTGTTTTTGCAGAGTCTATGGCTTTTGTTAACTGATCTGATATGTCATTTACGTCTCCTTGTCCTTCTTCATCTGAATGTGTGCAAACATCATCCTTATCGACATATTGGTTTAAAATATTATAGGCTTCTCTAATGCAATCCTTTTCACGGAAATTACATGTGATCATAAATCCCTTCAATCCAGGTTGAATAAAATGTTTTGCTTTATTACCCTTACTGTAATAACGCGCTCTCTTGCTGCGACTACCGTTATCTTCTGCCATAATTTAACAATAGTAATGGAACAGCAAATTCAAACACATCAAAAATCTTATGATAAAAAACAAAAGTAAGATTGACGTTCAATAGTTTCAAAAAAATATAAATAATCTTTATATCACACACACGTACCTAGCTGGCAGTTATTTTGAGAAACAATGCATGTTATCTGGAACAAAATTTTCAACATTAATAAAAATTAAAATCAAAATACTATAATATATTTGATCAAATCATTTTTCGTTCACTTTTAATCTATATCTGGCATAAACACCCCAGACAATATTAGAATAAAATGTATTCATAAACACCCTAGACAATATAATAATAATAATAATAATAAGAACATTCAAGCTCTCCTCCAGCTGATTTTTAAGCGAAACTCGACGACCAACTAATATGGCGGATGACACATTTATGAGTTGAATTTGCTGTCAACTAATATTTGTTTTGGTCTAAAACTCTAAAACGTGCATTTTTAGGTTAGGCATTTGTTGTAATTCATATTTCTTACATTTTCTCTTCATTTATTTTTATTATTTTATAAGAAATACAATACAGCGGTGCCAAAACTCACAATTATTCTGTCAGCGGTGTTCTTGAGATTATGTCCCCATCTGACAGAGGTTACAAAACAATAATCTACCTAGTATTGTATATTGAAACCAAACAGTGGTCTAAACATAGATAAATAAGCATGGGTCTAAATAAATCATTCATTGGAAAGTCGAAAACAATGGACAATGAACGCTAAAGTATCACTCATGAACACGGGGTATTCTAATATTGTCTAGGGTATCACTGATGGATTTTTAAGGTAAAAATAGTGTTTTTTCGCCTAATATTAGCATTGCTATAATAAAATGCTCAAATAATTTTGAGTTTGTTACTTGTCGATAGTTTTAATAAGTATTAAAAGTTATTGATATAAGTCATACATAAATAAAAATGATGTAAGTAATGATTACCTTATAAGTTTCTGCTAATAAGTTTCTATGCTCAAGTGCTATATTTTGTAAGGTAATAAACGGGGTATTCTAATATTGTCTTCTAGGCCCTAGACTCTAGGGGTAAAAGCATATACTCTTCTTTTATCTATGAAGCGTTCCATCAGAGCAGTCCGAGTTTGAAATGTTGTGATGGTGGTGTGTTGTATACCCTGATGACAGGTGACAGGAGACCGGATGACACTTCAAGCAAGCGTAAGGTTTCTTCGTCCGCAGAGCGTCATTGCACAATCCATTTTAATCTCAGCCATCGCGGGAAGAAGATCTTGGGAAGCCAGCAGACACTCCAGTTATAGGAAGCCAGTGGACAATCAAGTAGTACGTACGTGCATTTGCCACATGTTAGTCGTTTTATTTTGCCATTGTACCCTGTCAAAGTCATTTGCATTAGTCATTTTATGTAATGGGCTTGAGAATTATTTGTGGATTCAAAGCTTATGCAGGTGTTTACACGATCTTCCCAAGGGTGCTACAAATACCCATCACTACATAATGACAGATTTTGATTGAGGTTAGTAACAATTTGAGAAGAAAAATGGCGCGTCAAATCGAATACGATCATAGATGAATATCGAGTGTTTTCATGCAGTTTGAGAAATTATTGAGAAAAGGACCATTGATATTGCTTTGATGCAGATGGTCGTCTTTCAATTTCATTAGTGAGCTAATATACACCATTAAGTGTATATTTTTTTTCTATATTTGCCTATATTGCATCAATTGGAAATCTTATCTGAATCGCTAGCGAATACAACATTTATTTGCTTTAACTATACTGGCGCGTGATGAACAAAAATAATTATGATAAATCAGATTCGAGCATAATAATGTGATTCTATTTTGAAATTGTTGAAGGATTTCAATTATTCTCAAAAATTCTTTAGAAATGCTTTTTATATGAAATATTTTGTAAGTAAATGAAGCTGATGCATTAATTTTAATTTAATGATTTTGAAAACAAAGTACTTTTTACAATTAAATGTCACGGTCACAACGAAATGTAATCAACATATTAAAAAATATTTAGGTATTATAATTATCATTCATACATTTCTACAGCAGTTTCTTCTTTCAATTATAAAAGCCTCTGAATTTTTATATAATACCCTTGATGACAAGAAAATTCTGTGCTGATCCTAATTTTTTACTTAAGACATAGTATATATTATTGTTGAGAGCTGCTATGATTTAAAGTTTCCTAGGCAAAATGCATTGAGGCTAAGTCATGTGAACACTGAAATAATTTTATTTCTCATGACAAGAATTTCTTTAATAATTAGTCAAATTTACATGCAACATTTAATTTCAGATAAAAACATACAAAGAGTAATCCAAACTTAGTATTACCTTTTATATTTCAGCTCTGCTATAAAATAGCTGTCCACAATAATCAAGTAATTGAATTATAAAAAATAAGTCAACTCTGGAATGAGAATTCTGTATTATCTTACTAGCTTGCTTGCTGCAGTGACTTCTTTGCTTCGTTAACTATCGGTAAGATAACAAAACAAGTAATACTTATTTCGTAAGATACAAGTCCAATTATTTAGGTTTTGAGAAACTTAGAGTATAATTATGCTTTTTAATACACACTTATAAAATATTACAAGGACAAGCTCAATACATAGTCTTTCCAGAAACATACTTCAAGCTTCAACTGTTAACTGCTAATGCTTACAGTTCAAATAAAATATGTAAAACTAATCACAAAATTATCAATTCATATCATATCTTAAAATAATTAAATATTAAAAATATTTGTACAAGATTTATTATATAGGCTCTGTATTGATACTTTTTCTTGATACAGGTGATGAACCACAATTAAGGATGGCAACCCATAAGAGACGATGTCTGCTGAGGGATCAAAAAGACTTTTCTGGAAAAGGCTATTTATTAAACGGAATACGCGTAGAGACATCAAGGTATGCAATTTATTTAATCATTTGCTTATTTATTCATCTTAATATTTTGATATCGTCATTAAGAATTTATTCATATTTTTTTCATTTTATTTAAATTTTTTTAGATATTTAACTTTTCATTATTACAATGATACTTATAAGTCACTCATAAATTAATTTAAGTCAATTATTTACACTATATCGCAAACATCATGTAACGTGTCTTAAAATACCGCTTACAAATACTTCAATTTTTTTATTATTCACTTACTCATTCACGAGTTTTAATCATCATCATCATTTATTTATGCATACAAATGATATTTTTTGCATTTCACATTTTTTTTACTTACCCATTTAATAATTATAAACTTTCTGTAGTTCCTCCACGATTATTTTGCATATCTGTTTTTGAGAAAACGTCGATTTACGGCAAAAAATCTGTTCACACACACACACATACACACACACACACACATACACACATTCGGGAAGTTCAAAATCAAAAACTGTTCGAAAGATATTAGTTGGGAATGACACTGATAAGTTTTAGGGAAAAATCTACCGAACCATTTCCTTGTAATTAACTGTTGAAATAAAATTTAATCTGATTTTTATGGAACTTTTTTTGATGATATATATCATGGCCTTATAGAACTTACTGAAATTTTACGGCCTTGCGACAAGTAGTTTAATTTTAAAAATTCATCAAAGCATGAGAAAATGAGTAGTTGTTTGATGTTTGTTAAAATTAAAATTAGACAATTTACTTGGTATAACGATCGAGTACTTGGTCTCGATGAACACACTAAATCATTAATTTCCTACAGAAACAGGTTCAATTATAAAAATTGTTGATTTTTGAAAATTTGTTTTTAGAAAATACTCCGAGTTAGCATGTTCGCTATGTGTAATAAATCCACTCGGAATACTTTTAATCACTCATAAGTTTATACATTTCGGGAAGTTCATGTAACTTGCCTCAAAACAAAATACCAATTAATTTAGTTTATTCTTTTCAATTTTGCGATAATTGTCTAATCGGACCAATTCGAATTTTTTTGCGCAGAATGTCATTTTTAAGCCGTGTCAAGTGGCTCCGCCGGCGACTTGATTGGTCCACGCGATTGTCAAGTTGTTCCAGCAACGCAAGAGGACCTCCAAGATCAAGAAAGAGGACCCAGGGAAGTACCCAATAATAATAAGTGTGTTATGAAAACGAGCTAAATTAAACAAATCATTGTCGGGTTCTCATTCATTCATTCGCGTTTGCTTCCATTGTATTTAAATTTTGTGCAATTTTTTTTAACAATTTGTGACGTTGACAGTAGATAGTGAATGGCATATGTAGTTTGACACGATCGTATCAATTTTTTTTAAGTACTACTTTGTTAGCATATTATGTAATGTAATGATTCAGATAATTACTTGCATGCTAATATAGTAGTTTGGGGTAGTAATAAGTTATGTAGGTATCATTTGTAGCTATAGTTTTGACTGACACACTAACACAATAATCCATCCACTATTAACACACTAAGAATGTAATAATCTGAATCATTTGACATTATGTATATACTTAATTATATATTTATTAAACTATTGTCAATTATCAACAACTGCTGCCGTTTGCAATCCATATAGCATTGCACCAATTTATTCATATTCTGATATGCATAAGTTGTTACATTGATGCATTAACTTTGTTTCATCACTTTTAAGGCGTTCTTGGAGGCCATGATACAAAAATCAATTAAGGACAAATTGTGAGCACTAAATGTTATCAATCCATGAAATAGTTTGAATCTGGGATTTCTATATTTAATTTTAACCTGCAGACAACTTTACCTACTTCAGCATTATGTGTTATTTATCAAACATTTTAAAAGGTGTATTCTAATCTGTTTTTTTTTTGTTTTAGATTTGATTCTCCACTATTGAATCAACTGCCCCATTTGAACCAACCGTTTTTATCGACTCCAATCAATCAAACAGTAAGCTCTTATCATGTATCTATCAGGTTGTATGTATCCTTTCTCAAACATTTCAAGAGATGTATTCTAACCTTTTGTTTTTTTATTTCAGATTAAATTCTCCACTACTGAATCAACTGCCCCATTCGACCCAACCGACTCTAGTCAATCAAACAGCAAGCTCCTATCAAGTATCTATCAGGCTGTAGGTATCCTTTCTCAAACATTTTAAGAAATGTATTCAAACCTTCTAAAGATTTGATTCTCCACTACTGAATCAACTGCCCCATTCGAACCAACCGACTCTAGTCAATCAAACAGTAAGGTCTTATCAAGTATCTATCAGGCAGTCTGTATCCTTTATCAAACATTTTAAAAGACGTGTTCCAATCGTTTGTTTTTTTTATTTCAGATTCAATTATCCACTTCTGAATCAACAGCCCTCATCGCCTTTAATCCATCAAACAGTAAGAACTTATCAAGTATCTATCAGGCAGTCTGTATCCTTTATCAAACATTTTAAAAAACGTGTTATAATTTTTTTTTTTATTATTTCAGATTCAATTATCCACTTCTGAATCAACAGCCCTCATCGCCTTTAATCCATCAAACAGTAAGAACTTATCAAGTATCTATCAGGCAGTCTGTATCCTTTATCAAACATTTTAAAAGACGTGTTCCAATCGTTTGTTTTTTTTATTTCAGATTCAATTATCCACTTCTGAATTAACAGCCCTCATCGCTTATAATCCATCAAACAGTAAGAACTTATCAAGTATCTATCAGGCAGTCCGTATCCTTTATCAAACATTTTAAAAAACGTGTTATAATTTTTTTTTTATTATTTCAGATTCAATTATCCACTTCTGAATCAACAGCCCTCATCGCCTTTAATCCATCAAACAGTAAGAACTTATCAAGTATCTATCAGGCAGTCTGTATCCTTTATCAAACATTTTAAAAGACGTGTTCCAATCGTTTGTTTTTTTTATTTCAGATTTAATTATCCACTTCTGAATCAACAGCCCTCATCGCCTTTAATCCATCAAACAGTAAGAGTCCGTATCCTTTATCAAACATTTTAAAAAACGTGTTATAATTTTTTTTTTTATTATTCCAGATTCAATTATCCACTTCTGAATCAACAGCCCTCATCGCCTTTAATCCATCAAACAGTAAGAACTTATCAAGTACCTATCAGGCAGTCTGTATCCTTTATCAAACATTTTACAAAACGTGTCATAATTTTTTTTTTTATTATTTCAGATTATTATCCACTCTGAATCAACAGCCCTCATCGCCTTTAATCCATCAAACAGTAAGAACTTATCAAGTATCTATCAGGCAGTTCGTATCCTTATCAAACATTTTACAAAACGTGTTATAATTTTTTTTTTTTATTTCAGATTCAATTATCCACTTCTGAATCAACAGCCCTCATCGCCTTTAATCCATCAAACAGTAAGAACTTATCAAGTATCTATCAGGCAGTCTGTATCCTTTATCAAACATTTTAAAAGACGTGTTCTAATCTTTTGTTTTTTTTATTTCAGATTCAATTATCCACTTCTGAATCAACAGCCCTTATCGCCTTTAATCCATCAAACAGTAAGAACTTATCAAGTATCTATCAGGCAGTCTGTATCCTTTATCAAACATTTTAAAAGACGTGTTCTAATCTTTTGTTTTTTTTATTTCAGATTCAATTATCCACTTCTGAATCAACAGCCCTCATCGCCTTTAATCCATCAAACAGTAAGAACTTATCAAGTATCTATCAGGCAGTTCGTATCCTTTATCAAACATTTTAAAAAACGTGTTATAATTTTTTTTTTATTATTTCAGATTCAATTATCCACTTCTGAATCAACAGCCCTCATCGCCTTTAATCCATCAAACAGTAAGAACTTATCAAGTATCTATCAGGCAGTCTGTATCCTTTATCAAACATTTTAAAAGACGTGTTCTAATCTTTTGTTTTTTTTATTTCAGATTCAATTATCCACTTCTGAATCAACAGCCCTTATCGCCTTTAATCCATCAAACAGTAAGAACTTATCAAGTATCTATCAGGCAGTCTGTATCCTTTATCAAACATTTTAAAAGACGTGTTCTAATCTTTTGTTTTTTTTATTTCAGATTCAATTATCCACTTCTGAATCAATCGACTCTAATCAGACTGTAAGTGTTCATGAAGGATCAGTCGACAATCAACTGCTTGGGTTTTGGAACACTAATTCTTATAAATTTGCACAAGTGGTTCTTTTTGTAACTGTTTAGTCTTATGCATGTTCTTACCAGTAGTCTTACTAACTCATTAACAATACTAACATTTTAATAACGTAGTTTGATCAGTTACAATAAAACCACTTGTTGCAGTTTACTTAGGAAGACTTAGTGAAACGGCTCAGAAGAAAATACTTGGTGAGTTACATTTTTATAATGTATTATAGTAGTCTGAATTATTACTAATTAAATGCTTTTGTTCACAGGGTAAGCAATGATCGCTTCTGGATGCTTACACACGTGCCTGCATTGTTCCTATCTTGCTGTCAGGAACAACATTAATTCAATAGGGTTCCTAGAGAAGATACGTGCTGATGTGTTAGCATTTGGACGAGCAAAAATTATTTGTGTGTTCAATCAAGGGTTATGACTTAAATACTTACAATATATTCATCTATCTATCAAATACATAAATACATTGTTGTATTAGTTCAATTTGTTGTTTTAATTTCCATTAATTATTTACTTATAAAATAATTTAATTATATTACATGAATATTTAAAACTATTTTAATGTTATAGGTATGATAAAGGAATATCATCCGTCAGTTCTGATAAATCAAGACAATGTGAAGTGAACAGCAACCAAATGGCTTCATTGTGAAAACTGCATATACAGAAGTTTCAATATTAAAGCATTCGTTGTGCAAACAAATATAAGTATCAGAATATTTTTATACTTAGAATTAAGAATTCTGTTAAATAATGATTTATTGATTAGTTTTATAGACATATTTGACATAACTTCAGACTTTCCTCTTACTTTTCCTCGAATGGCCTGCGGCCTGGTCTATACTCGTACAGTGGTCTATAATCGTACACTGGTCTATAATCGTACACTGGTTTGAACTTATCAAGTATCTATCAGGCAGTCTGTATGCTTTATCAAACATTTTAAAAAACGTGTTATATTTTTTTTTTTTTTATTTCAGATTCAATTATCCACTTCTGAATCAGCAGCCCTCATCGCTTATAATCCATCAAACAGTAAGAACTTATCAAGTATCTATCAGGCAGTCTGTATCCTTTATCAAACATTTTAAAAAACGTGTTATAATTTTTTTTTTTTTTTTATTTCAGATTCAATTATCCACTTCTGAATCAACAGCCCTCATCGCCTTTAATCCATCAAACAGTAAGAACTTATCAAGTATCTATCAGGCAGTCTGTATCCTTTATCAAACATTTAAAAACGTGTTATAATTCTTTTTTTTTTTTATTTCAGATTCAATTATCCACTTCTGAATCAACAGCCCTCATCGCTTATAATCCATCAAACAGTAAGAACTTATCAAGTATCTATCGGGCAGTCTGTATCCTTTATCAAACATTTAAAGACGTGTTCTAATCTTTTGTTTTTTATTTCAGATTCAATTATCCACTTCTGAATCACAGCCCTCATCGCTTTAATCCATCAAACAGTAAGAACTTATCAAGTATCTATCGGCAGTCTGTATCCTTTATCAAACATTTTAAAAAACGTGTTCTAATTTTTTTTTTTTTTTTATTTCAGATTCAATTATCCACTTCTGAATCAACAGCCCTCATCGCTTTTAATCCATCAAACAGTAAGAACTTATCAAGTATCTATCAGGCAGTCTGTATCCTTTATCAAACATTTTAAAAAACGTGTTATAATTTGTTTTTTTTTTATTTCAGATTCAATTATCCACTTCTGAATCAACAGCCTCATCGCCTTTAATCCATCAAACAGTAAGAACTTATCAAGTATCTATCAGGCAGTCTGTATCCTTTATCAAACATTTTAAAAAACGTGTTATAATTTTTTTTTTTTTATTATTTCAGATTCAATTATCCACTTCTGAATCAACAGCCCTCATCGCCTTTAATCCATCAAACAGTAAGAACTTATCAAGTATCTATCAGGCAGTCTGTATCCTTTATCAAACATTTAAAAAAAACGTGTTATAATTTTTTAATTTTTATTTTAGATTCAATTTTCACTTCACTTCTGAATCAGCAGCCCTTCATTGCCTTAATCCATCAAACAGTAAGAACTTATCAAGTATCTATCGGGCAGTCTGTATCCTTTATCAAACATTT